TTTGCAGAGGGCTCCAGCCTGAAATCTCAGCCTTCCTCAGGGGATCGCCGGCGCTTCCTGGTTTGCAGCGAGGGTCGGAGGATTTCAGCACTTCCTACTCTCTGCCTGATGTGAGCAGGAAGTGGGAGCATGAAAATGGCAGCGGAGGCTCTGCCAGTGGGGCTGGAAGCTCAGCAAGAGGGTGTGGGGTGGTCACACCTGTCCTGAGCAGGGTCCTGAGCCCTCCAGGTGTGTCCTTTGGGAAGGGACAGGTCCCAGTGCCAGGGCTGCTCCCAGAGTGAGCCTCGTCCTGCAGCTCAGGGATGGAGGTGAGCGTGGACGGGCACACGGGAGCGTGTCTTTTCCTGCAGTTATTAAATGGCTTCATTGGGAACCTCCCCGGGGCAGGGAGAGGCTTTGGCTGGGTGCTGGCTGCTGTCCTGGGCGCCTCTGAGCTGGCAGGGGCGTTTCAGTGCGACACCGTGAGCAGCAAAGAGAGGAACTCCACATCCTCCTGTCACTGGGGGCCTGGATTTGAGTTCAGAGATGGGGAATTCGGGTGGCTGGAGCATGACTGGCTGGCCCTGCCTTCTGTGTTCACATTTGGCTGGATGGGAATTGGAGTCAAGACCCAGCTGCCATCAGGGGTTGGAGGCTGGTGGCTCAAAGTCCTCTGAGGCTCTGGGGATGTGAGTGGCCACATCAATGGCTTTGGGACACTTGATGCCAAAAAGTTCCCCTGACCGTGAGACACTGGGATAGGAACAATTCTGGGGAAGCTGAAAGGCAGTGCTGCAAAACTCTGAACCATTTACAAACTGTTGAAAGAAAAATGAGGTTTGAAAACGTCGGTTGTAAGGAGACCTTGTGTGTTTGGAGTCTGTGGCTCAGATTTTCAGGCTTTTTCCTGTTCCAGCAGTGGGACACAATGGCATACGTGCTTTTTCAGTGAGTCTGGGAAATCCTGCAATCATGGATTTAACAGCTGGGACCTTGAGGAGGGGAAAAAACAAACAAGTGTGTTGGCAAGGCTCCGAAACCAGGCAGCTCCTTCTGCCCCGCTGCCCGACTCCAGCAGGGGAGGTGGCGAATCTCCCCTTCCATCTCTGGTTCAGACATCAAACCTGAGTTGTTCTGATCTGATTTATTGCCTTTTGATCTCGCTCCAGCGCCGCCGCCGCTCTCTGGGACGGCCCAGGAGGGAGGTGAGTCAGTCCTGGAGCGGAGCTGCCGTGCCTGCCTCATCCCCTCGCTATGCTCCCCGAGGGCAGGAATGCATCCGTCCCGTTCAGGCTCTGCCGGCTCCCCATGAAACGCTTCTCTGCTGACTCGGGTGTCCCTGCGAGGCGGGGAGGGGACACGCAGCGTGTCCTGCCCGTCCCGGGTGGGTGGCAGGCTGGGGCAGCCCTGGCACGGCCGGTGCTGCTCTGCGCCTCTGAGTGCCCCAAAAACACCTCGGGAAGCCCTGCTGGGAGCAGCCCCCTGGGCCGGGATGGTTCCCTGCCCTCGTTGGTGCCTTCCCACACGGGGTTTGCTCCTGGTCACCCCCACACCCACCTCCTTGGACTGCTGCTCTGCTCCAGGTGCCTTTCCCGAAGGGCAGGGCAGGGCCAGGGTTTGTTGGGGACAGCTCTGTCACTCGGGGAAGGTCTGAGTTGGCACATTTTGCTGTTTGGTGTGATGCAGTCATGAAGGGGGTGTGCAGCGCTGGTAAATGTTCACTTTTTTAGCAGAAAAACCCGGGTCTTGTTAAGCCGAGCCAAGGAAATTTAGGAGAGGAGCTCTGCAGGCGAGGGATTTGTTTTCTTTCTCCGTCTTGGAGAGCTCTGCCTTCCCTTGAAGCTGCCTTCCCGATATAGCAGCAGTTGCTAACTCTGAATGAATGTGCCGAATTCCGGCCGCTTGCCTTTGAGCGCGGGCAGAGCCAGCAGGGCTGGGTGGCACTGTCCCAGCAGGGCTGGTGGCACTGTCCCAGCAGGGCTGGTGGCACTGTCCCAGCAGGGCTGGTGGCACTGTCCCAGCCGGCTGTCACACTCCAAGCAGCAAGCAGAGCCCAAGTGCCCCGCTGGGGCGAGTCTGGAGCTTTCCCAGGCTCGCCGTGGAGGCGGCTCAGCCTCGCTGAGGTGGCACAGCTGTGGGTGCCACGCGGCCCTGTCACCCTCCCTGTCACCGCGGTGGTGCCTCTTGGGCAACACCCGAGGAGGCTGAGGAAAGAGCCTTGAGTCAGCACCACGCTGTCACCCAGGGAGGCCTCCAGCAGGGAGGGGACACCCCGAGGGAGGGTCTCCATGGAGCCTCTGGAGCATCCTGCAGCCCTGGAAGTGCCCTGGAGCTCGGCTCCAGACAGGGGGAAGCCGGGCAGTTCTCCTGGGAGGAGCAGCTCCCTGGTGCTGCGGGAAGGAGTTGGAATGTGGTGCTGGAATCGACTCCCTGAGGTGTTCTTGAGCCTTCAGGGAGGGAGGATCTCCCCTGGAGGGAGGATCTCCCCTGGGAGGAGGATCTCTCATGGAAGGAGGATCTCCCCTGGGAGGAGGATCTCCCCTGGAAGCAGGATCTCCCCTGGAAGCAGGATCTCCCCTGGGAGGAGGATCTCCCCTGGAAGCAGGATCTCCCCTGGGAGCAGGATCTCCCCTGGAAGCAGGATCTGCCCTGGGAGGAGGATCTCTCATGGAAGGAGGATCTGCCCTGGGAGGAGGATCTCCCCTGGAAGGAGGATCTCCCCTGGAAGCAGGATCTCCCCTGGAGGGACGATCTCCCCTGGAAGCAGGATCTGCCCTGGGAGGAGGATCTCTCATGGAAGGAGGATCTGCCCTGGGAGGAGGATCTCCCCTGGAAGGAGGATCTCCCCTGGGAGGAGGATCTCTTGCAGAGGGAGGGGAAAGCTGCTGATGCTGAGGCTGCTTTTCATAAGCTGCTGTTGCGTAAGGGGAGCCTTGGGCAGCACAGAAAATGTGGAGAACTTCCTCACAATGCTGGAGACAAAGCCAGGATTGCTCTCTCAATTTCTGTCTTCCTTTGTGCTTTCCTGAACTTCAAGGCTTATGTAAATTCCCCAGGTTTGCCCAGGGCTCCGTGCACTGAGGATAACTTTCATTTGTAGCCTGGGGGTGCAACTTCCATATGAAAATTGTCTCTTCTGCCCCTGCCTTGGCCTCCTTTCCCCATCCAGTGCCTTCAGCAGTTCTGGGAGGCTGCTGGAAGCAGCTGCTGCCGGGGTTATCCTCAGGGCTGCAGGGTGGGAATATTCCCAGGTGGGCTCTGTCCCTTCTCCACATCCCTTGCCTTGCTCACCCCCGGGTTTTGCCGTGTCCTTCCTGTCACCTGTGTGTCACCCTGGTCTCTGTCCTGCCCTGGGGGCCTGGCACTGGCTCCTCGCTGTCCCTGCTGTCCTCCTGATGGAGGCACCACGGAACTCCTGGCTGCAGGAGCCTCTGGTGGGCACGGAGAGGTGGCAGCGTCCCAGGAGGGTGCCCGTGCCAAGGGACAGTCCCTGAGTGCTGGGATAATTGAGCTGCTCGTTAAGCAGATCTGTGGCTTGTGGTGGTTATCCAGCCTTTGGAAGCTGGCTTTAACTGGAGGGCCTTACCTGGCTGTCAGTGTCTGGGTGAGGGGTGGAATCAGAGGTGCCCTGTTCCCCCTCGTGCCCTGGGTGAGTTTTGGAGGGTGTTTTTAGAGCAGACTAATGGGGAATTCAGTTATTTCATACAATTGTGGGGTGGTTTGGGTTGGGAGGTGCCTCAAAGCACCCAGTGCCATCCCTGCCATGGGCAGGGACATCTTCCCCTGTCCCAGGCTGCTCCAAGCCCTGTCCAGCCTGGCCTTGGGCACTTCCAGGGATCCAGGGGCAATGCCAGCTTCTCTGGGCACCCTGTGCCAGGGTCTCATCACCCTCCCAGGGAGGAATTTCTTCCTAATTAGCACTGTAGACTCTGTCAGTCTGACTGGTGACTTACTCCTGACCAAAAACCCAGAGAAAGCACATTTCTGGGATGTGAGAGAGCTGGCAGAGCACAGTGGCATCACGAGGGATGGACACACTGTGAGCTGGCAGGGGCTGGTTTCAGGTGCTGAGTTTGATCTCCACAAACTGCAGCTGGTGTGTTTGTTTTCCCGGTATCTAAGGGTCCAGAGATCTCCCAGAATTGCCATTTAAATTTCCCTGCATTCATCTTGGTGCTGGTTATTAACCAGGACCAGATCTTTCCTCTCCACATCTGGTGGTTGGGTGCAATCCCAGCCCTTCCTTCCAGGGGTGAGCTGAGCCAGGAGCTTGAGGGGCTGCTTGGGCAGAGCTGGGCTTTGGGATTTGGGATTCAGGCTTTCGGATTCAGGCTTTGGGATTTGGGCTTTGGGATTTGTGCTTTGGGCTTTGGGATTCAGGCTTTAGGATTTGGGCTTTGTGCCTTGGGCTTTGGGATTTGGGCTTTGGGATTCAGGCTTTAGGATTTGGGCTTTGTGCCTTGGGCTTTGGGATTTGGGCTTTGGGGGTGCTCTGGGTGCCTCAGTCCTGTCGGTTCCCTTTGAGGCTCCTTTGGCCACAGCAGCATCTCTGCAATTCCTGCTCCACAGAGGTGCCTGGGCAGGCTGAACCTGTGGCAACAGGCTCAGCTCAACGTGGGCTCGGGGTGGTTTGTGCTGGGGTTTGGCCTCATCCCAGTGCAGAGAAGCCACAGCCACACCGGGCTGCAGCTCTGCACTTCCCGGTGGGCTCAGCCCTGGGGGTGCTCGGGGCACTCCGGGGCTGGGACAGCCCTCTGGGGGTCCCGGTGCTGCCTCTTGTGAGGACAGGGGTGGCCTGGGGGCTGTCGCAGCGGTGGCTTCGCCCCACGGGTGCTCTCAGCAGCCCTACCTGCTGCGACCCGGCTCTGTCTCGGTGAGGTGAGAGTTGTTGTGCAGAGTTTCCTCTTTTATATCCTCTTATGTCACGCAGCCCCGGCGGCTGAGCGCGCCCGAAATAGCTGCCAATCCCGGGAGGTTTCGCTTCAAGCTCTCTATTCTTGGCTCGCCGGCGTTGCTCAGTCATGAGCTCAGGGAGCGCGGCGTGAGGACCAGCAGCCAGTGCCATGCAGGGCTCCTGCCCCGGCCCGGGCTGGCTCCGAGGGCACGGCGTGGGCACAGCCCGGCTCGGCGGCGGCGCGGCCGCGCGCTCTGAGGGACCCCGGCTGCCTGGGGTGCACTGAACCCCGCTGCACGACGGGATGAGTCACTTCTGAGAGCTCCGCGGCCTCGCCTGTGTCTGACCCAGCTCGGCACGGCTCAGCTGCTCTCCCTGCCGCGCCGGGGATCGGCGGGGATGAAGCAGAAGTGAATGTGGGATGAGGAGCTGCGGCTTCCCGGGAGCGGAACTCGCTGGATGTTCTCAGGGTTGGAGGTCTCTGCCACACTGGTGATGTTCAGCCCGTCCTGTAAGTGCCTCTCCCATCCCTGGGTGTTTGTTCCTTCCCTGGCTGTGAGCCCTGGCGGGGCTGGGGGAAGGTGTGCAGGGAGCATCCTTCAGGATGCTCACGGAGAGGGAACAATGCTGCGGCTGGTGTGGAGCTCCTGCCAGGGTCTGGTGGGCACGGCCACCAGCAGGGCCAGCTCAGGGCACTGAGGGTTGGTGGGCCACCAGCAGGGCCAGCTCAGGGCACTGGGGGCTGATGTCCCATCTCAGGTCGTTCTGCAGCCTTGGAGCCACGGCAGGGCAGCCACAGCATTGGTGCCAGTGCAGCAGCAGGCACAGGACGGGCCCCTCTGTCAGCTGCATTTTCTGGCTGTTTCAGAGCGAACTCACGAGTTGCCCACCAGCTCTGCTCAGATGTGGTGAAGGCCCTGCCTGGGGGGATGCAGGGGTAGTGCTTCCACAGGACTTTGGCTGGTTTTGAGGGTGCTTCTTGGGAGGAACCTCATTTTCCAGACTTCCTTTCAATTCCTTTAGCATTTTCAAGCTTTTCTGCCTGACTCCAGCCTCGCTGCGTTGGGTGCATTTCCACCCGGAGCGGGTCATGCCCAGCTTGGGGCACGGCCAGCATCCTGCCCCCGGGGCATTTATGGCACGGGGAGGAAACAGCCCATGCTGGGTGGGAAAGGTGCTGCTGGTGGCTTTGGCTGAGCTGGGAGGTGCTCGGGGCTCTGTACGTGGGGTTGCTGGGGAGGGAGTGTTGTGTTCCGAGCTCGCATCCTGCCTCCGCTGCGGGGAGCGGTCACGTGCGCGCCAGGCCTTTGTCCTGCGCCTCGCTGCTTTTTTTAAAATTTATTTTTAGGTGCTCTCTGGCTTCCTCTTCCTCCTGCGCCGCGCTGCACTCCCTCTTTCTAACTCCCTCTTCTAGGATTGCTTTTTTGGACAGTCAGTTCCTCCTTAAAGCCATTTTTGCAGGGCTTTGTCTGCGCTTGGGAGCCGGCCCAGTTCAGCGTTAGCAGCTGCTGGCTCCTCTGGGTAAGCAAGAACAAATAAAGGTTTACTCTGAATGAATCATTTGAGCCTTATCTGTCCTGGGACAGCTGTGCAACTTCTGCTGCAGTGCCTGGAGGGCACGGAGGCTCCTCAGAAAGCTCCTCCTGCCACTGGCCGGCCTCAATGGGTTTGTGCTGCTGATCCCAGGGCTGCCCCAGCAAATCCTCCCTGTCTCCGAGCTCCATCCCTGCTTGGTTGTGAAGCTGCACTCTGGAATGGCTCCTTGTCCAGGAGGACTTGCTCCACTCTGGAATGGCTCCTTTTCTAGGACAACTTGCTCCACTTGGCTGCTTCGGCCTCGCGGATGCTTTGGGTGGTTTGGTCGCTGGGTGAAAATGCAGAAGTGTCGTGGTGGGAGCCACATCCTGGTGGGATCCACGTCGTGGTGGGATCTTCATGGTGGTGGGATCTTCATGGTGGTGGGATCCATGTCGTGGTGGGATCCACATCCTGGTGGGAGCCACATCCTGGTGGGATCCTGGTTGTGGTGGGATCTTCATGGTGGTGGGATCCACATCCTGGTGGGATCCACGTCATGGTGGGATCCACATCCTGGTGGGATCCACGTCGTGGTGGGATCCACGTTGTGGTGGGATCCACGTCGTGGTGGGATCCACATCCTGGTGGGATCCACATCCTGGTGGGATCCTCATCCTGGTGGGATCCACATCCTGGTGGGATCCACGTCGTGGTGGGATCCTCGTCGTGGTGGGATCCTCGTCGTGGTGGGATCCTCATCCTGGTGGGATCCTCATAGTGGATGAGCTCTGAAGGCAGCCAGGGTGATGGGGATGAGCTCCTGGCATCCCCCAGGCTGTGGGACACAGCGTGGCACTCGGGAGCTGTGGTGTGGCTTTGCTGGTTTAAGAGGCAGGATCTGCAGAGAAGTGGCCGTAGTTTAATAACAAATAACAAATGTTTAATAACAAATGTGGGGGAGGGAGGAGACAAAGGCAGATAAAGCCTTGGGCTCGTGCCTGGGAAGTTTGGATCTGACAGCAAGGTGAGGAGTTGGCCAGAGCTCGTGTTGGACCCTGGGCATGGAGGGCTTCTGAGGGATCCCTCCAGAATCCATCACCCCTTCCCCTGCCCCTGCCCCTGGCAGCTCCCAGTGCCCCGTGCCAGGCTGAGCAAACAGAGCCTGCACAGCCCCACGAGGCTGGGGTGGAACCTGCTTTTCTCCTATGGCAGAGCAGCTCTCTGCCTTTTACCACAAGTGTGCTCAGCCAGGGCTTGGCTTCTCTGCCCTTAACTCATTTTTTAGCCATTAGATGGACGGGGTAAAAGTGCTGCTGGGTTTGTTCAGGCAGTGTTTGTGGAGCTGTGGGGCTGGGCTGCGTTGTGACTCCTCATCCCCTGCGGTGGGTCCGTCCCTGGCTGTGCAGGGATGCTGAATCCCCCCTTCCCCACCAGCTGCAGGCTCCTAAAGCCAGCAGGGATAATTCACCTGGATTAAAACCCCAATCTCCCCTCTCCTTCCAAGGCCCTGCCGCCGTAAACAGCCGCGGGCTGGGGTAGGTGAGCGGAGGCAGCGCGGCCCTGCCAAGGCCTCGTGTCCACAAATGACTAAATCCTGCCTGAAAAGTCAGAGTATGAAAACATTATTTTTTGGGTTTGGCTGAGCCTCGTGGATTGCTGGGCTCGAGCCGCCTGGGCTGCCTCCGGACGCTGCCTGCGGCTCTGCCCACCTTGCAGCCGGCGAGGAGGGTGGAGGAAGGCTGGCGAGGGCACGTGGGGGGCTGGCGGGGATTTAGGGGTGCCAGTTGTCACCTGAGGGCTGGGTCAGGAGGTGAGGTGAGTCTGTCAGCCTGGGCTTTGAGCACAAGCAGGGCTGGACCTGCCTCTCCGCATCCCTGCTCCCGGATTGCCTCTCCTCCCTGTGCTCGCATCTCCGGCTGCCCGGGCTGGGGAATTTCCTGCTGCTGGGATGGATAACGCTGATGTGGGGTTTGGATAACGCTGATGTGGGGTTTGGATAACGCTGATGTGGGGCTTTGTCTCCCATCGCAGCCTCCAGGGCAGGCTGAGCTCGTTCCCAGCTCGTTGGGCTCTCACAGCTCGCACCCGCTGGCGGGGGCAGTGCCTGGCTGGATCCAGAGGTGGTTTTGGGATCCCTGGTTTGGGATCGCTGGTTTGGGATCCCTGCACTGCCCCTGCACCGTTCCCAGGTACCCGGGGCCGCCGGCACAGGGCTGGCAGCCGCCGGCCCCCGGTGCAGAGCCAGGCCCGGCGGTGAGACGCTGGTATGCGAGATGTAAACTCAATCCCAAAGTTTAGATTACAGCCCTGTGAAAAACATCAGCTCCCCTAAATGGAGCCCAGATGGTGGCGGAAGCCTCGAAGGCGAGGGCCAGGAATTGCAGGAACCGTGTGAGCAAAGGGCCCGGGGCCGTGGGGGAGGAGGGGAAGGGAGGTGAGGTTATGGCATGGAGGGTCAGCTCCCAAAGCAGGCTGGCTCCTTGGAGTTGGGGTTATGGCATTGAGGGTCACCTCCTAAAGCAGGCTGGTTCCTCACAGCTGGGGTTACAGCATCCAGGGTCAGCTCCTAAAGCAGGCTGGTTCCTCAGAGCTGGGGTTACAGCATCCAGGGTCAGCTCCTAAAGCAGGCTGGTTCCTCAGAGCTGGGGTTACAGCAGCTGGTTCCCCTCCCAGGAGCCGTGGTGGCCTGGGCCTGCAGCAGGGGCAGGATGGGCTGGGAGACTTCTCTGGAGGGTCTGGCCACGTTAGATGGGCAGAAGGAGAGCCCAGATCCCTGGAGATACTCTGTGTGTGAGGGAGCCACTCAAACCCTCCCTCCGCTCGGAGATGAGGCTGTGAGACACAGCCTGGGGACAAACACCCAGCAAGGCAAACATCCAGCTCGGGCACCTGCAGGGACACAGAGCTACACAGGGACATGGGGCACCTGGGGCACCTCCAAAACCCCTGCAGGACTGAGCCTCTGCTGAGTCTGTGCTTTTGGGTGGTGCCAAAGAACATCAGGTAGGAGTCAGGAAATGGGACACCAGGTGGGAGTGAGGAAATGGGACATCGGGTGGGAGTGAGGACTGGTGACTTTGATGCTCTTAATGCAGTGTCAGCACTGCACTCCCCTCTTCAGAAAGGCTCAAAAAGCTGCAGAAAGGAGGCCCTGCCTGGCAGGGAGAGGCCTTGGTGAAGCCCAGGCTGCCTGGTTGGGCTCCTTTGGCGGCTGGAGCAGAGCAGGACGTGCTGGAGGCAGGGGCTGAGCTGTGGTTTGTGCCTTGGCCTCGTCCCTCCTGCGTGAACCGTCCCGGTGACGCCGCATCTGATCGGTGCTCGTGTCAAATCACAGCACAGGGAGCCCCAGGAGAAGCGTCTGCAGCTGGCTCTGGCCCTGGCCAGGGCTCCACGAGCCTCGGTTGCCGTTCCCGCGGGTTCCTTGGCCGCCTCCTTGTTTGTGCTCCGAGGTGTGGATCTCTATCAGTGCCGATGACGAACCCCCGAAAGGGAGCAGGGAACTGGGAGGGTTTGCATTGTTTTTGCCTTGGTGGGACCTTGCTGTCAGAGCTGCATTCTGGGGGTGTCTGGCTGCTTTAGTCACGGCTCTGCGCCTGGGTGGAGGTTCTGTCCCAGCTGGGCTGGGCTGGGTCACACTGGGAACCAGGGATGGGGCTGGGCTGGGGGAGCTGGGGCTGGCACGGGGGGACATCGGCCCCAGCACAGCCCAGCCCCACACGGACGTGTCTGGGACACGGTGCCAGGAGAGCCCAGAGGGTGCAGGGTGTGCCTGGGAGGGGTGCAGGGTGTAGGACGGGGTGCTGGCACATCTGGGGGTGGGACAGAGAAACTTGCAGAAGGATTTGTGGGCTCAGCCTGGTTGGAGCTGGGGCGTGTGCTGGATCTGCACGAATCCGTGTGTCCTCCCTGCTCCTCCTGGATCTCCTGGCTTGCAGGGGGAGGCTGGAGCAGATCCTTGCAAAACCCCGCCACATTCCCTCTGTCCACGTGGCT